CATAGTGCCACTGTTGTAGAATGGAACTGACATCAGGGTTGGGGTGAGACTGATAAAAATTGAATAACTTACATATACTACATTGAAATAGATGAGGGAGAGAACAGTTTAAAAGCGATATATGATTGGGTATTATGGTTATCACAAGAGTCCAGAATTAAGGTTGCATAGTGGAGTGTACTCAGGGTGGTGGGGGAGGGGGGTGGTGCAGGAGATTGTACCAGTGAAAGAATTTTTCTTTTACTTTTCAAAGAGAAGAGCGAACTGGAGGGGAGGGGTAGGCAGAGAGAAAAATGCAACAATGAATGAATGGAAATCCAAAATCTCTGTAAATGTTAAAATTAATAAAAAAAATTATAATTACTGATAAAACCATTTTGTAGGCTGGTGGGAATCCAGGTTGCTGCTAACTTAGGACCTAGGTTGTCTGTAGTAATTTATTTGAATTTGTAAGTAAGATGTTTGCCATTAAAAATGTTAATTTTTTTCTGAGAAATAAATATCACAATGGTAATTACATATATTCTTTTCTAGGCTTCCTCTCAGGACAGCAAAACTATTTCAGATGCTGAATCCAGAATTTTTTGGTTAGGGCTTATTACATGTCCAGTGCTGTGGGTGATATTTGCCTTTAGTGCTCTTTTCTCCTTCAAGATGAAATGGTTGGTGAGTATCAAAGTGTAACTTCTGGATAATTCATTAGGAAGTCTGCCAGGATATCATAATCAACCTTAGCATAGTATCTCCATTAACTAGACAGGCTTATCATGCATTTCCCAAGTTCTGTTTCCAGACTCTTCCTTTCTTTAGGCCTGGAGAGCAGCAGATTGTTCAAAGCCCTATTCACTGATGAGTGCCTAGCAGAATTTTCATTAAGCTCACTTTGTACAGCCAGGTCCTTGTTTGATAATAATGTTACTGTGCTAAACTCCAATAAATGTCAAATGTGTTTAGTTTGGAACTAAGATTTGTTATGTGCCATCGAGTTGACTACAACTCCTTGCGACCCTATGCTCAATAGCTCTGAACTCTGCTTTCTCATGAGCCAATGTCACTGTCTCTGATTAACCCATTACCATCAATACTCTGGTTATTGTGTCAGTCCAGCTCATTTGGGGCTTCCTCTCCTGCGCTGTCCCTTGAGCCTTCCAAGCTTGATAACCTTCTCCAAAGACCATTCCCTCCTGGCTACATGTCCAAAGTATGTGAGACAGAATCCTTGCCTCCACGGAGCATCTTTATTTCACCCTCTCCTGGACAGATTTGTTAATTCTCTTGGCAGTCTTCAGCACTAGAACTCATTTTTCTAAAAATAATGCATGGTAATCAATTGCAGTTATTCTAGCTGCACAACAGCCCCTAAAGAATGTGTCTCAAAGCTCTATCCCCAAGTGTTGCAATTTTAAAGGCAAAAGTTGAGTTGCCTTTTAGTCTAGTCTCTGAAGTCATACTATCCCTTCCAGAAAAAAGTTACCCTATTAACCAAAATGAAGAAGAATGGCATCAGAATAGGAGTAAGACTCATCAACAGCTGCCTTCTGTGGTTTGATACAACCTTACATTCTGAAGGTAAGGAGGATTTAAAACACTTGCTGCAGAAGATCAAAGACCACAGCCTTCAATATGGCTTATGTCTCAACATTGAGAAAACAAAGATTCTTATCAGTGGGCCAGTAAACAACATCATAATAGATGGAGAAAGATTTGAAGTTGTCAATTATTTCATCTTGCTTAAATCTGCAGTTAAAACACCCTTGATACCCAGCAGTCAAGAAATCTCAAGATGAGTTGTATTGAGGAATCTGCTGTCAGGGATCTCACCAAAGTGCTAAAGAGCAAGGAAGTCAGTTTAAAGACTAAGGTGCTGCTGATCCAGACCAGGATCTTGTCAGTTACTTTCTATGCATCTGACTGTTGAACAGTGAATAAGGATGACAGAAGAAGAGTATATGCTTTCTGAGTGGTAATGTTAGAGAAGAGTTTGTAAGTAAGGGACTTAACCATTAAAAATGTGTTTTTTTTTAATGGAATTGTCAGAAGAACAAATATATCTTGGAGCTAGTACAACTATGGTGTTCCCTGAAGACAAGGATGGTGAAACATCATCTTGTATAATTTTGACATGTTGTAAGGAGGGACCGGTCCTAGTCAAGTTGATGGCAGATAACATGAGTTTAGAAAATGCTACCTTTACAATCAAAGGAAGGAGCTTTAAGTGGGGAAGTGACAAGGTTCTAGATGAGCCTGTGCAACAGCAGATACTGTTGGTGTTATCTTTGAAAAATGCCATCTGTCACCCGACCCAAACGGTCTTTTTCTTTTAATAGATTAATATATCCTACTAATACATTAATATAAAAGATTCTACTGGGCCGATTGGCAGCATCATGATAGATGGTGAAGACATTGAGATTTTTAACAGCTTTAGTTTGCTTGGCTCCATTCTTGGCAACAACAGTCAGGAAATTAAGAGATGTATGGCAATGGCAAAGTCTGCTGTTAGAGACCTCTCCAAAGTACTGAAGAGTAACAGTGTCAGTCTTGAGACTAAGGTGTGCCTGATACAGGCCATGGTCTTTGCAATCACTTGCTATGTGTCAGAGAGCTGGACGATGACTAGGGAGGTTAGAAGGAGAATTGATGCCTTTGACCTGTGGTGTTGAAGAAAAGTATTGAATATACCATGGACTGCTAAGAGAATGCGCAGGTTTGTCCTGGAGAGGGTTAAATCAGGCTGCTCATTGGAGGTAAGGATTCTGAAGCTTTGTCTGAAATACTTTTGATATGTTGCAAGGAAGGACCAGTCCTTGGAGAGGAACATCATGCTTGGGAGGGTGGAGGGACAGCGCAGGAGAGGAAGACCCTCTTTGAGATAGATTGATTCAGTGATTGGGGTAATGGGGATGGTTTTGTTGGAGACAGTGAGATTGGCACAGGATAGAGCAGGGTTTAGAGCTGGTGTACATAGGGTCACTGTGAGTCACAGGTGACTTGATGGCACAAAACAACGTATTTTTATTAATTTTTTTAAATGTTGGTTTGCATACAAAGTTCATATACATTGTGTTTCACACTATCCATCATTTACACTGTGTTTTATACAGTCATTCTTGTCCATGTTTTATAAAATCAATCACCATTGAACTACGCCCTGTCTTTCCAGATGCCCGCCAGGTCTTTCCCATTTCTTTTACCCCTCTTTTTTCTACCTACCAAATTGTGTGGCCCTATAATTTCCCCCCTGCCCACCTTTACCACTCTGTTCCCACTCCTGCTTTGAGTCCGTCCCTATATACGTTTTACTAGTTAACCTTTTACAGTAATGGTCCTATGCAATATTTATCCTTATGAGACTGAGTTAGTTCACTTATCATAATGCTCTCCAGCCTCTCTCAGATTTTGTAGTACTTTTCAAAATGATTGATCCTGAGTGTTGTGTAGTATTCTATTGTGTGAATGTACCACAGTTTCTCAATCCATTTGATAGTGGTTGGACATTTGAGTTGTTTCCATGTTCTTGGCAATTGTGAATAAAGCTGTTGTGAACACTGGTGTACAAATCTTCATTTGTGTCTTTGTTCTAATTTCCTTGGCTTATATTTGTAGAAGTGGAATAGCTGAATCATATGGAATTTCAGCTTTTTAAAGAAATGTCAAACTGCCTTCCAGAGTGGTTGTACCATTTTACAATTTCACCAGCAGTGTATGTGAGTTCCTATCTCTCCAAATTCTCCCATCATATCTTGCTTACTGTCCTTTTAGACTTTGCCGCTGCTGCTGGGAGTGTAGTTTTTATTTGCACTGCTCTTATTGCCAGTGTGCATTTCTTTATGTGTCTGTTAGCCATCTGAATGTCTTCCTCTGAAAAAAGTCATTCCATGTCTCTTTCCCATTTTTTATTTATATTACCAGTCTTTTTCTTGTGGAGGCCCTGTAGGGTTTTGTAAACTTTTGTTATGAGACCCTTGTCTGAAATGGAATTAACTAATGCTTTTTTCCTGTCAGTAGATTTTTCTTTTCACTTTGTTGGAAAATGTTTTTGATGCACATAGAGATTTAATCTTTCTAAAGTCCCATTCATTAATTTTATCGTCTCCTGGTTGTGTATTTCTGGCTGTATTTGACAGTCTCTTCATGGCATGGGCAAGGCCTTCTAAGCTTGGTCTCAGTTTGTCTCTTATGATGCTTATGGTTTTGGTCTTTACACCTAGGTCTAATATCAGATCTATTTTTGACTTGATGGTGGGTTTTTTTCCCTCCTCCTTCCTGATTTTAACATCTCTTTATTCTTATGAGTTCATTTATTTTCTTTCTGTGGATATGCATACATACATACTTTTCTTACTTTTCTCCTTGCTATTTGGGAAGTTTATTTTCTTTTTTCATTCTTTTAATATGGAAAATATAGATCATATAAAGAAAGACTAACTCTGGTGGTCCAATGGGTAAGAGTGCCTTCCAAAAGGCAGGTGATTTGAATCCACTAGCTTCTCTACAGGTGAAAGATAGACTTTGTCCTCTTGCATGATTTACAGCTTTGAAAACTTTCTGGAAGGTGAGCTGTGAGTTGGTTCTGACTCAGTGGTAGTGAGATGAAAGAGAACTATCTCTGTAATAAACTGCTTTAGATGTTTATATTATGCCAACTTTCCGGAACTAGGATACTTATTTAATATCTGTTTCCTTATGGAAAGATGACATCATTGGTTGAATTATGTTCCCTCAAAAGATTGTGTGTGTGTGTGTGTGTGTGTGTGTGTGTGTATAAAATGATGTCATGTAGAGGTTATGTAATGATCCCATGTGGTATGATGAAGCCAAGCAGATGTAAAAGGATTAAGGGCGGCATGGATTGTTGTTAGGTGCTGTCGCATCTAGTATGACTCATAGTGCTCCTATGAACAGCAGACCAGGACCCTGTTCTATCCTGTGGCATCCTCATCATTTCTGATACAGTTGAGCCCATTGTTGAAGTCACACTGCCAGTCCATCTCATAGAAGTTCTTCCTCTCTTTTGCTGACCCTCTACCTTTTCAAGCATAAATAATATCTTTCAAGGAATAGCCTCTCCTAGCAACATGCCCAAAGTAAGAGAGATACAGCTTCTCCTTCCCTGCTTCCAAGGAGCACTCTAGTTGTACTTTTTTTCCAGACATACCTGTTTGTTCCTTAAGCAGTCTGTGGGATATTCATTTCTCTTCCTTAGCACCACAACTCTAAGACAACAATTCTTTTATCATCCTTACTCATTGTCCTGCTCTCAGATATGTACCAAGTGATTGAAAGACCATGGCCTGAATCAGGTGCACCTTGGTTCTCAAACTGACATCATTGTTCTCAGTGTAATGTGTCTTCTGACCTCCTGACTATTGGTACCAAGTATGTGGATTGTGGATCCAAGTAAGATGAAATCATTGACAACTTCAATTCTTTCTCTTTTATCATTGTGTTTTCTGTTGAATCAGTGATGAGAACCCTTTTTTCCTTGAGGTTGAGATGTAATCTATACCAAAGACTGTAGTCCTTGATCTTCTGAACAAGTGTTTCCTTGATTACTTTCTCATATTGTCTGAGACTGTTTGTCTCTGCTGTGAGCTAGCATTTGAAAGCACTGTCTTGGGGAGCCTGACATAGCAGGGGTGGAGAGGAGAACCAAGCCTGGGTGATAGCGTAGCTTGGATGATTGGCCTCGGGCTCTCCTTTTTGTGTGTAGCAGAGCTCTTGTCCCCTGGTTTGGCTGTACTCTAGTCTGGTTCTGCCTGTGCTGTAAGTTGTGCTGTTTACTGCTTAAAACCTGTTAGGAGTCTGACTCAGTGTCAGTGAGTTAAGTTGAAGATGGCTTTTTAGGGATTCCTGCTGGTGTGGAATGTCACAAATTGTACTGTTTACTACTAAACTTTGCAGGCTTCTGCTCTAGAATATGCAACCTTGAGGCTTCCTTACATTATCCAAGATCATTTTCTTCAGTAATGTTTGAAGAGTGGATTTAAGTTTCTTACTCTTATTCCTGTTGGTGGGACTACTTACTAGGTCATTGATGGGACCACTAGAACAAAGCTGCTGCAAAACCCACTCATTCTAGCACCTTATTCCTCCATCTTGGAAAGCATAAACCTTTTGAACATTGCCTGTGGCAGTTGTTCCGGCTCCCAGCAGGCAGATGTCATCCACAATAATTGTTGTTATGCACCATCGCTGACCCTCTAGTGGGTGTTCAGAGGCAGTGAATTGCATGGGTTTGTTTTTATTTTTATTTATTTATTTACTTTTTTACTACATTGATCATGGACTCATAGGAAGCTTTTAGAGAAGGGTTCCCTGGAGCCCCTGGGGCCAGTACAATGCCTCAGAAAAAACTCTGGGTTAAGTGACTGAGTTTTTTGTGCAGAAAATGTATTGGTTAGGTCTGTTTGCAAGTTTCACTGATTTAACATTCATGTTTCATGGATTCCTTTTTCCTTCTTTTTCATTTCACATGCATAAAGAAGGTGTAGTAGTTTTCGCTCCATTAATTCCTAATTCTTCTCCCTCTCCCCAGGCAGTGGTGATCATGGGTGTTGTGCTGCAAGGTGCCAACTTGTATGGCTACATCAAGTGTAAAGTTGGCAACAGCCAGAATTTAACAAGCATGGCTACCTCTTACCTTGGAAGGCAGTTATTAAGACAAGTAAGTGTTTTCTGGGTAATTCTGATGTTGTCATTAATTTGTAACTCTTTTAGAGTTTAATTTTTATGAAATAATTGCTATAAGTAATTTAGGCCATGTATTTATTTAAATATGACATTATAATGAAGTTGTGTTAGTTCATCTTTCAATTGTGTTAGGACATTCCCGAAATAATGTTTCACTGTTCTCAAATCAGAGAGATGATACATAGGACCTCAATGCTTAAAGTAATTAATAATTTCAGATTCATTTGGTTTGCATTAATTATGATAGCTCTAAATAATTTACTTTGAAGAAATTTTTAAATGATAATACAGTGAGAGCAAGCTGAAACAGAATGATACCATATTAAAAGTGTTTTAAAGAACACAGAATCTTGCCTCTCTACGCCCCCCCCCCAAAAAAAAGATTCCACTACAGTTTAAAAAACATACTTAGGATTTGAGTCAGGACTTTCAGTGTGCTAAATAGTATTCATATGAGTAAAATCTTGTTTGAAATTTGACTGGGTCTTCTATGAGTAATACCTTACATTTACTTTATGAAGTGTTCAACCTCCTGGCTTTGAGCCAGTTTAGAATGCACAGCAAGTACTGTTAAATCACACAGTGTTTTAAGACGTATATGAATGGTAGAATCCCTGGAAAGGCATGTTAAAATATGGATTATTGGTTCCTTAATTGTGAAGTTTTTTAAATCAGTGACTTTGGGGGGGGGGTGTCTCATAACTAGCATTTCTAGTAAGTTCCCAGTTGCTTCTGTTGCTATTACTGCCCATTGAATATGCTTCAGATAACTAAAAATCAACTACAGAAATCAACAGAAGAACCCACTGTAGTGTGGCTGGTTCTGATTTGTGTTGACTCTCTTTCTAGTGGGTTTCCAAAGCTGTATGGGAAGAGAGAGCCCATATTTCTTCTGAGGAGCAGTTGGTAGATTTGAACTGCTGACCTTTGGTTAACAGTGCAACATACAACACACTCAATCCTGTTTTCCTTTTAGATAATTAAAATCCTGAGAAGTTAGGCAACTATCTCAGGAACATGCAAGGATTCAAAGCTGTCATTTGAAATCAGTTCTCCTGATTAAGATATTACTGTTGTTTTCATTGTTTTAGTGGTTGTTGTTGGTCGGTATATGCCATTGAGTCACAACTGACTCATAACCAACTCCAGTGGGTTTTCAGAGGCTGTAAATAGCATGACAAGAGATGTCTATCTTTTTGTGGAGCCACTAGTGGATTCGATCCACCTTCTTTTGGATTGACAGTGCACCTTCTTAACTCTAGGCCAGCAGAGCTCCTTTATTTTCTTTAAAAAAAGATATGAAGTAGTTGAAGAGAAAGGTAATAGAAAACAAAAGGTTGATAAGATATTATAATTAATTCCACTAAATCAGTGGTAATTAATATTAGAAAACAAAATGTACATGAATGAGTGAATGATTGTTTGAAAACCTAATATGATTTTTAAACCTTTACTCAAATAAATAATTGTTGTGGTTATGTGCTGTTGAGTCATTTGCGACTTATAGCGACCCTATGTACAACAGCCCTAAACCCTGCTCTATCCTGTGCCAATCGCACTGCCTCCGACACACCCATCCTGATCACCCCAGTCACTGAATCAATCCATCTCATAGAGGGTCTTCCCCTCTTGCGCTGTCCCTCCACCCTCCCAAGCATGATGTCCCTCTCCAAGGACCCGTCCCTTATTGCAACATGCCCAAAGTATGTCAGACGAAGCCCCAGAATCCTTGCCTCCAGGGAGTTGGCTTGGTTTAATCCTCTCCAGGATGAATCTGTTTTCTTGGCAGTCCATGGTACATTCAATACTCTTCTCCAGCACCACAGCTCAAAGGCATCAATTCTCCTTCTGTCCTCCCTAGTCACTGTCCAACTCTCTGATGCATAACAAGTGATTGCAAAGACCATGGCCCCTATCAGGGGTACCTTAGACACCATTGCTCTTGAGTACTTTAGAGAGGTCCCTAACAGCCGACTTTGTCATCGCAATACGTTTTTTGATTTCCTGACTGCTGGTGCCAAGAGTGTTGACTGTGGAACCGAGCAAACTGAAGCTGTGAACAATCTCAATCTCTTCTCCACCCATCCTGATGCTACCAATTGGTCCAATTAAAAAAAAAAAAATTAGGTAGTCCTAAAAGGGATTGTAGTAGAAGATGCTCTGAAGCTGTGGCCCTTTGTTACTCCTGTAGCTCAGTGTTCAGCCAAGCAATATCAAGGTCTGTCATGTAACCAAATTATACCAGGGAAGCACTCAGTTCTTAGAATAATCAGCTATGCAGCATTTTCCCAGAATGCAGGGGAGGTTACAATAGAAGGATTGATGGAAATGAGAATTACAAAGGGAAAGTAAGGGAAAAAAATGCAGTTTTATTGTGGATATTAAAATGAATGTAGCAAAATGTATGTAAATGATTGAAAAACCAATTTGCTATATAAACTTTCACAATTAAAAAAAAAAGGTATGAGTTAGATAAACTTAAAGTTCTTGTAGGTACATGATTCTCCCGGCAAGGAAATTTTTGCATGGCCCCATATACCTTCGTTGTGATCTACCTTCTTAGAGTGATCGCCGTGTGTTTGCATAATGGATTTTTTCCACAGGGGTTTCATTGTTTCTCATGGGGGAGGGACATTGAAAGGAGATGAAATCAAGTCTTGAGTCTGATTTAGTATATGGATGTAGTAAATGTTCATGGCACTGGTGATAACTCTGCAAGAGATGAGATGTTTATGGACATCTCATAGGTGACAGTAGTAGTGATTTCCTTTTTCAGCATGTCTGATTTTAATGTAACTGGGCCATTGGATGTGAGATAATTTAATGTCTGGTTCCGAATGTTGCCCTAGGCCTGCTGCTTTGAAGTCTATCCCTATATATATTAAGTGAAATAACATATAATGTTAAGGAATTTTTCTCTTTTTTTTTTTTTTCAGAATGTGAATGATCAAACTTCCTAAAGAGAGCAAGTTTATGTTTTCTGTTTAAATGGGGAAGAAAGGAAAAAAATTCTTGACTCTGAACCTTTTAGATCTCAGTACATGCTCAGAAGAGTAACTAATACTGAGTTTGTTTTCTCATTTACATTTTTCACTTTAAAAAATATTTTTCATGTTAAATTTTGTATTTTCTTTCCAACAGTTGAGGATTGATTGTTTAATGTCACTAGAAACATCATCAGAGTTTACCTTGAGATGGAATTGTGTATATATCTACTCTTTTAGTAGTCACAAATCCCAATTGAATTAAAGTATTTGTGTTCATATGCATATGTAATGTGGCCTTTGCATTTTGATCCGTAGTTATTTATAGAGAAAGATTTTCTTAGTTTAAAATCTCTGTGCATTTATATGGGGTTTTTTTGGTTGATAATTTTAAGGAGAAAGTTTTGCTTCAGTGAAAGAGTAAGCACTTTATGTTATGTTAGTAATAATTCTTTTCTTGAACATACAGGGCAAATAAAAACCAAATTTGGACCAGTGTTGTTAATTAGTTTCTAAATTAGTAATTTTATTTGTAACAAGTCATGTACATAAAGGCCAGTTCATATAAACTGAATCATCATAGTTATAATTTAGAGATACTTTGAGTCTGCTACAGTTGTATTAATTTTATGGAACTATTAGCCAGATTTTAATCTGCCGTTTGCTGGAAGCTCTGTGGTGGTCCTTGGCTGAATGAAATCTGTCTCTTAACCAGTCAAAGTATTATTCTTATGTCATAGTGAGAATATTCATTTAAATACTTGGCATACTAAATGCCTAAAGAACATTTTGTTTGAAACTTTTTTTCCCTTGCTATATATAAAAAGATACTGTAAATTATGGATTTGTATCAATATTCTTAAAACAGAGCAATATGTTTAACTGTAAACAAACTTGTACTAACTATAGGAATCTGAATTCTGTTGTAGGTACTGTAAATTTTGTTGGGGTCTTTTAATCAATAGTTTATTTTGTGATTGCATTTATACCTTGATAAAACTTTTTAAAAGATGTTTGGCTTAATTGAATAAGTGTCTTTTGGAGTTACAGCTTTAAAGGTGCATAAATTTATGTTTGTATAAAACTCTACTGTTTACCAAAGCACTTTGACTTGTGTTTTCTCATTTAACCCTGACACAGCCTGTTAATTGTTTTCAAATGACAAAACTGAAGGTCAGGTTGAGTGACTTTCCCAAGGAAGCACAGATTGCAGGGACCATCAAGACTTAGGACTGTGTTTTTTTTATGTCTAAATGTATTTTGACTTTTTTTCTTATAAAGCAGTCATAACCATATCAATTACAATCAAATTGATTCAGATGCATTGCAAGTCCATTGCTCTCAGGGACTCAAGCCTTTCGCTTAACAGCCTGGTTCATTAACTGCATGTGATACTCAGGGACATCTTGATTTGTAGCCAGTTCATTTAGTGAATACTTATATGCTGGTTCACTTATATTTAGCTGTTTTACCTAGTAAGATTAGATGCTTCTGTACTAAAGATGTATTTTTTTTTCCTCAGACACAAATCTTAAGGGTTCACTGTCTTATCGGAAAACATATTGATAGAATTCTTGAGATAACTATGTTGTATACTTGAACCTATAATCCTAGACCAGATAGTAATTGAATTTTAACATAGTTATGTGGCAAGACAGGGAGCTCTGGTGGCTTAGTGGTAAGAAGCTGCACTGCAGTCCCAAAGGCATGTGATTTGACTCCACCACTCCATGGGAGAAGGATAGACAGTGTCTTCCCATGTGATTTACTGCCTGTGACACCCGCTGGAGGGTCAAGTGTAAGTTGGTTCTGACTCAATGGAACACAGCAATAAGTGTGGTAAGATCTGCCACTTAACTCCCATTTTCTTCTAAATTGTCATGTAGAGGAATGGATTCTACATTCTTACACATTTTCTTCTATAGCTATATTCTCCACTAACTTGAGATAGGGGAATCTGGAATAAAGACAGTTTGCCCTAGATAGACACTCTGTAGCTATCCATGGCCATGTAAATAAGTTCTGGCCAGTGGATATACTTTCAGAATTATTCTTAAAAGGAATAACATCTCTATCTCCTCCCTTTATTTTATTTCCTTCCTACTAGTTTAAGTATAGATGTAATAGCTGGAGCTTGAGCAGCTGTTTTAGAACATGTAGTGAGAGTCTCATCTTGCATATTTCATTGAAATAATGATCGAGTTCCTTCTGATGGATGGAGCACCCTGAGCTAGCTACCTAATCTGACTTTCTAAGTGAGAGAGAAACAAACTCCTTTAACCATTAATGTTTTGATTTTTCTGTTGCACATAGTTTAAATGGAATTATTTCAACCCAGTGCATTTTTGGCATCACTCATAATTGCTTGCATTAGTACATAATTTGAGATGTAATGATACAATCAATACATACTTAATGAGTTCCTTTTTCCTCTATGTAGTAATTAAGCTAGTATTATAAATGCTGACAAGCCTGTTCCAGATACTTTAAAGAAAAAAACCAGATCCCCCTGAAACTTGAGAGTTAAAGCAACAATTTTATCATATTTACAGATATTGAGGAAGAATGTGAATAGGGCACCATGGAGACAAGTTGTCTCTGCTACACAGTATCTGAGGATTCAGCTGGAAAGGTTAAAAAGTAGAGTTGACGTGATGGCAGGGGGCCAGAATCAAGTTGCTGTTGGTGTCAGCCGGGACCTCACCTACCTGTCATCTCTGGGTGGGCTAGTTTCGACTTATTTATAGCTTTGGTCTTGATTTCTCTAGAGAGCAAGATTAAATCCATAGCATTTTTATGACCTCAGCTTGTAATTGAAGTAGAGTCATTTATACCATACTGTCAGTGCCGCACTCACTTTTAGCATGTTATCAAGACTGAAAAATTATGTAGAAAGCTTCATAATTGGTGATAGGAGCTTTGGTGTGTTTGTCAAGGTGAGGGCACATTGAGTTGCCCACAACGTAGGTCCTATGGTCCTTTTAAGTATATTGTCTCATTTGAGCTCCTGTAATACAGTATATAGCTTACTGAAAAGTTAGTGGTGCAAATTCATCAGCAGATTCTCAGCATCAGCCTTTGTCATTAAGACTTGTAATCTCAAAAATACCTTGATAGGTCACCATGAGTTAGGCTCATGGCAGTGGGCTTTGTTTGTTGGATCTCTCTTGAATTTACCTTTAACGTCAAAAGGAATTAATGCAGCAGGTAGATGCACAGTTAGATTGAGATAGGTAAAATGAATTATTGAAGGTAGCATGTAGCAGAGATAGTAGTAGTATTGTTACGTTCTGTCAAGTTGACTATGACTCATAGCTACCTTCTGAACAATGGATCTGAGCTCTACCCTCTCCTGTGCCATTCTCATCATCTCTGACATACTCAAGCCCACCCTTACAGTCATTGTGTTAATGCATCTCATTGAGGGTCATCTCCTTTTCTGACCCCTCAGGCTTTCCAAACATGATGTCTTCTTTCAAAGTCTGGTCCTTTCTAACAGCATGTCAGGTGAAGTTTCACTGTCATTGTTTCCAAGGAGCATCTTGACAAGACCTTTTCCAAGACATAATTGTTTGTTATTTTGGCAGCCCAGGGGTTATTCAGTATTTTTCTCCAGCACCACAACTCAAAGGCAGTGATTCTTCTTCTGTCATCCTTTTTCATTGTCTAATTTTCAGATATATACCAAGTGATTGAAAAGACCATGGCTTGTTTTTTGTAGAAGTCCTTGACAGCAGTCTTTTCCAATGCAGTACATCTTTTGGTTTCCTGGCTGCTGGGGCCAATGGCGTTGATTGTATATCTAAGCAAGATTAAACCACTGACAAATTCTTTGTCTTCTCCACCTATCATGATGCTGCCTATTGGCCTGGTGGTAAGGATATTTGCATTCTTGATGTTGATATTTTGACATAAAACTCAAAACTGGACTAATAAACTTCGTGATGATTAAAGAGAAGCTTGAAGTTGTTAATTCTTTTTAGTCGGATCCAAAGTCCACAGCCTTGGAAATAGTCAAGTAGTCAGACAGCTTCCTTTGTTGGACAGTTCTGCCTGCAAAGTGCTGAAGAGCGTGGATGTTTCTTTAAATACTGAAGTGCACCTGAGAAGCCATGGCACTTTAAATTGTTTCCTAGGCATTCACTGAACAGTGAATGAGAAAAACTGAAGAAGTGAAGCCTTGAATTATGATGTCAAATACACTGAATTTCCAAAAGGACAAATCTGCCTTCACACTTCATCTCACATAGTTTGGTCATGTTATTAAAAGCTAGTCCCTGGAGGACATCATACTTGGGAAAGTAGAATGTAATGAAAGAAACACCCCCCAAAGAGATGCACTGACTTAAGGATTGCAAATTGCAACAGTGGACTTAAGTACAGCAGACGATGTGAAGATGGCACAGGATTGGTCAGGGCTTCATTCTGTTACACAGGACTGTAATTGGGGGCCTGATATAATGCAGGTCTTGGATGGATCAGCCAACAGTGTCAGCAGTCTGTTGCCCTGTTTGCTAGCCTTAAGTTTTTCAGTGTCTGCAACTACCTCTCAAGATCAGACCTGAGACTGCCAGCCTCTACTCTGGTAGCCTAGTCGCAAGGGATTGTGCAGCCAACCCAAAGACACACGGCTTGAACCCACCAGCTGCCCCAGGAAGAGAAAGATGGGCAGTTTCCTCCCATGCAATTTATAGCTTCTAAAAATTGGCTGTAAATAAACCCCAAGAAAATTAGAACTGAGACAAAAATGGAGATCTTGTACACCAGTGTTCATAGCAGCATTACTCACCATGGCAAGACATGGAAACAGCCCAGATCTCCAACTGCAATCGCATGAATTGAGAAATTGTATATTCACACAATGGAAAACAACGTAGCATGTTAAATTACAACATAACATGGAAGGGATTGGAGAGCATTATGCCAAATGACCTTAGTCCCATAAGGACAAAAAAAAACATATAAGACTATAATTA